ACAACTAAAGGTCATGTCAGCTCGAATGCGAAGTCCATTCACTCCCGCCTCGTGATGTGTGCCCAAACGTCTTGGATTGAGGGGCTCCGCCTTCCTTTCCTTTGCGCTGAGCCAGAAACCTATCGAAGCCTGAGTGATCGATGATAGGATGCTCAGTAGATATCCACTCCTTGGACAACTTGATGAACACCACCATCGCCTTCCCCCCATAAGAATGTAAGGCTTTAGCAAAATCAGATGACGACTTGTACTGCTCCACAGACGCCTCCTGATCTTTAGCATTTTCCGTGGAGGCTCTATATTTCTCCACCGCTTCCTCGGGAGTCTGAGCCAAAATAGAGCATAGGTTGTCTATCTCCATCTCTTTCTCGCGAGCACGGGCCTCTAAAGTTTCGAGAGACTTCTTCAAAAAAAAGACTTTCTTCTTGTATTGGTGAGACACTTTTTTCTTTTCTTCCGCAAGGGCCTTCTTTTCTTCTGCAAGGGTCTTCAACTTGATGATAGGCGACGACTTGACTCAACAAGCCAGGCCTGAAGAGCCACAACCTAAAGGAAACAAAAGATCAAATAACTATAAAACATGTACAAAAGAATAGACAAACAAAAACGAAGAAGGATGATAGAAAATCTACCCACTGAGTTTGGATCGCCAGAACTCTCTCAATGTCACCAGCGTTTCGCCCGACAATCGCCTGGGCACATCCAAGCGTAACCAAGGATCTGATTGCCCTCATCTCTGAATAGCCCCAAGAGGGGTGAATCTAAAGTCTGGAAGAAAAGAACCCTCGCGCTTGGGCACAACACAACTCGAGCTGCCCCGGCAAGCCTCGGGTGGTGGGATAGCTTCAACAGGCTTGTCCAAAGGTGGAGATCTCCTCGATGGTGTAGTGCTCTCCCATCATTGGTCTTCTTCCTTTTCAATGGAACGGAAGGTGGATCGTCATCGTTCTCGCAACCGTATTCTGCCCAGGAGTCCATGGTTTCTTCTAAGTTGAACTCCATCCCTGTACACACAAGGTAGAGTCTATCAAGCTTACAAAACAACGAGTCAAGATGTGCACAAAAGTAAAAGCTAAAAGTGAAACTCGCTGGAACTTACCATCAGTAGGGATAAACCCCTCATCACTCCCTGGCTCGGGCAGAGACTTCAACACCTCGTCCAGATCAAAATCCATATTTGATTTATTGCACATCAAGGTTTATACATGGCATTTGCTATTTTTGATTTCAAAGTTTACTTGTATGGAATTGCACGAAGAGGTTAGTAGCTTGAATGGTTTTTTTGTTGATGACATGAATTTTGATGAAATTCTGGGGGTGTTTTTGAGTATTACTTTTCTTATTCATGAAAATAAACCAATATTTAAATATCATATTTTTGCAATGAAATAAAATTATTTAAATATTTCTTTTTCTTAACATACGTTTTAAGGAAAATGCTAAGTGTACATAATAGATGTACACAATATGATGTGGCACACATCCTGTTGTTGATGTGTAAATGTCAGATTTGA